ACACACACACACACACACACACACACACACACACACACACACACACACGCTCATTCACAGTACGGTATCAGTTACTGCTAGATATCCTTCCATTCAACCAAGCCCCACACAGGCATCTAGATGTAGATGCCTACTACCTGTCCCTTCCCCTGTAATCAAAACCCCCATACAGTGTTTGCTGTGTCTGGTTCTACCAGGGATTTCCTGCAACACAGAATTAGATTTCAGCTTCTGCTAACTATGCCCCTACTCAAGAGCCAAATGTCACAAAACAAATAGAAACCAAGGGATCAGTCCTCCTTGGTGGCCTCTTCCCTCCAGCAGAACCTTCAAATAAAAGGATAGATGTCAAGACCTGCTAAGCAAGCCCTCCAACATCTCTGTTCTTCCATGTTATATATTCACACCTGAGGACTGGTAGCTGAGAACAGAATATTTAAAGAACATCTGACATGAGTCTTTCTGGGTCTGGAATCTCTTATTTAATATAATCTTTTCCTCATCCATCCATTTACCCAGAAAAATGGTTCCCTAACAAAGAGGGCTAATTGCTGACCAGCTGAAACTAAATCTTGTGATTTTGCAGTTGGTGACAGATTGTGAGACCTGTTTTCTTTATTAAAGATTAACATGGGGTCCCAGCCCACTGTGTACACTTCCTTCCCTTGAAGTTAGGCCTGAGTCATGTAAGAACTTCATGTGAGTGAACTATGAAGAGCAATGCAACAAGCAGCATTTCTCCATGTTTTCTGCCTTACCTCCTGCTTGAATTCCTTACCCAATTTTCTTAAATAATGGACTTTGATCAGAACATGTAAGTGACAAACTTCTATCTTCCCCACATTGATTTCTGCCATGAGGTCTGTCAGCAATAGAAAGTATACTAAGACAATGTCCTAAGAGAGGGCTGGACCAAGGGGTCATACTGTCTCCACCTCTCATCCAGCATCATCTCTGGTATCCCACCTAAAAGACAGTGTTCTGTGTCTACACAACTGAGCTTCATGTAGCACATGCCTAAGCGTAATCAAAACACTAAACACAACTGTGTTGGAAAGAATTAACCAGTGCCTGTGGTGGAGGAATGCACATGTAATCCCAGCACTCCAGGAGGCAGAGCCAGGTGGATCTTTGTGAGTTCGAGGCCAGCCTGGTGTATAGAGTGAGATCCAGGAAAGGCACAAAGCTACACAGAGAATCCCTGTCTCGAAGGGAAAACAAAAAGAATTAACCAACAAACTAAATCCAAATGACTAAGTCCCATTACAAAAGACAGAAACAAAATGAAAAAAATCAAGGACAACTTGGGTTCTCCCCAAATGAACAATCCCATAGTAATGGCCAACTGTAAGAGTCTCTAGAACAAAATTTGAGACATAGTATTTGAAGAAATGATTGTGAATATGATCAGATAACTCAAAATGGCCTGAGAAACTCATGGTGCCTCAGGGAGAGTAATTTTCTCTTTAAAACCCTGCTGCTCTTGTTACATTTGAAATGTTTAGGAAGGCTTTTGTTAAAAAAATTTCCTAGACAGGTTGACTTGTGTGGAATAGGGAAAAGTACCAATTGTTTAGATTATTAAATTATCAGCAGTACCTAGGGAATGTAATTATTTTAACTTAGTTGTGTTGGAAATATAGACTCAGTGCTGTTATTTCCAACATGGAATATCAATGTTCAATTCTGATAAGAACATGCCTCTTAGTGTGTTGGTTTTTGTTTGTGTTACTGAGGTACATGCATGCCCAGCTCTAAACAACACCTTTAAAAAACAACCTACTAATTGATTTACTTTTGTAGTTATGTTTTGATTGTGAGTGTTATGTGTCTGTGTAGCACATGGGAGTT